ATTTGGGGCTTTTAATATGTTTTTTTTCTATGGCAGAACTTGTTTTTAAGAATTTTTAAAGGTTTTTTTTTAGGTATTTTCAGAGGTAGCGGTTTTTTTCACATAATTTGAGTTTCTTAGATCTGATTCTAAATAAGTTTGTTTATTTAAAAAGCTAATTGATGCAGCTAAAAAGTGGACCTAAACACTATGTGGTTGAAGCTTACCGTCTGGGAAATATTGAGCTTTGAAATGCACCATTTTTTATTTTTGTGACGTATTTTTAGAAAATGTCGACTTTAAAAACTTGGGAAATCGGTCAGTCTCGGATACCATATTATCTGAAGCATTTGTCCGACAATGGAATATTTCGCTATCTGTGTGTCCGTTTATTGTATTTGTATGTATGTACATATGTAACGAAAACGTTTCCGCCCCTATTAAGTGTATATATTCTTGATCATCATCAATAGCCATGTCTGTCTAGCTAGATTCATTAAATTTTTTGAGAAGACTCATTTAAAATCTCACTGACTAAAGTTTGTTTAAACTTAGCCAGGCCCCACCCTGCCCCCACAAAGGGGGATAATCTCTAACTTCCACAATTTTGAAGACATTAGAAAACGCAAATGCAGTTCCGTAGAGAATGCCATATCTATCAGATTCAGATTAGATCGGATCATTATTATTTATTTATTTCTTTATTTCAATAAAAAGTGTTCTGTTAATTATGGAATAGGAATAAAAATGTAAAATTTTTTCATGGGATATTTCGGGGGATATTACATTTTACAAGTAATTATACTTATTGCATAAAACCCGAAGAGGTTCATGCTGGACGTAATTAGATTGACATATGGGTAATCCGATGGGGCCGAATGTACGGGTTGGTCTGGAGGGAGCTCTGCGATGGTGTAAAAAGGGTAGGTCCAGTAGTTATAGCCTAAATACATAGGTATGGTGGAATGAATCCCAGACCAGATTTCTAAGGGCGAATATTATAAAATTGTTTTTGAACGGACTCAACAAGAATATTTTGCTGGAGATTCGATCCAGAACATGGTGTCCTAGAGAATAGGAGACAAAATGTGTTGCACTCCTCCGAAAATTCATAAGTTTGAACTTAGAATGGTTTAAGAAATATGGGTTATTCGAACTCCAAATGCTTAATTCATAAAGGTCAAGTTGTAGGCGAGTATGCAAGCACCAGTCGGAAAAGTCAGTAATCAGCATACACTAAAGTAACTGAGTGCAAAATAACTTGGGGCAGTACGTTCACAAACAGATTGAATAAGAGCGGACCTAAATGACTTCCTTGATGAACGCCAGGGGTTACTTTCACAACATTTGACAAAACATTGGTAAACAAAACACGCTGTATTCGATTCGTCAAATACGATGAACTCCAAATTACGAGATTTGTTGGAAAACCTAATAAAGAGAGTTTATGGATCAGCAAAGTATGATTAACAGAGCCAAAAGCTTTGCTGAAATCTGTAAAACTGATGTCTGTTTGCAAGCTACTTTAAAACTCTCGGTTGATTAGAGACGATAACTCTAAAAATTTAGTTAATGTTTATCGATGTCTAAAAAAACAGTGTTGCGACGTAGATATTAAACTAGAACATCCGAGTGGCAATTGACGAGTAACAGGGTGCTCGAGCAACTTCGGAATGGCAGATAGTTTAGCAATACCACCATAGTTTTCGATATTAGATCTGGACCCGAGAACGCTCTAGGGATAAATTAAACAGGAAGGTCAAAGGATGAGATAGGTCTTGAGCCCAACATTTTAGGAAACAGTTCGGAACTTTATCTGGACCCGCAGAGAAACAAATGTCAATTGATGACAACCTTTCGAAGACTGCTATTTCTTCAAGGAAGGTAAGAAATACGTTATTAACATGAGGTAGAAGGGATGGAGGAGCCATAAGTATCCGAAGGTGGCAAATAAATTTGCAATCCTGTAATCCAATATCCTCTAAATGAAGGGCAGAAGGGAACGCGTTAGACTTACGTTTTTAGTTGACGAACGAAAAGAATTTGTTGGGATCATTGGGAAAGATGTAGGATTTAACATTTCTTATTGACAGTAAGAAATTGAGAGAGAACAGAAGAATATTAAATAAAGACAGACAAAGAACCAGTTATCTGGTACTTTTTGTAGAGCCGGGATTTTCTATTTTTTAGGTACGACAGATACTTGGAAAGCCAGGGAGGTTTAGAGGAAACCTATACGGTAACTTCAGGGACTTATGTATTCAGGGCAGAGTAAAACGTTTCGTAAAACTAATTGCCAGATGGCGCTATATTTGATGAGGAATGGAGAAAGGACCAATGAACTTACGAGAGATGTAGACAAAGATGGACAAAATTAGTTTTTGCTAAAACATTGTATACGACTTTTTGAAGGTAAAGTGGTGCTAGTACTTGAGAACTCGACAAATATGGATAAAGTAGGATGATGCGGATCTTCGGGAAAATATATCGGATTGCCACTTAGAACCGTTGCGCGAGAAGCATCGTTGACAAAGATGTGATCTAAGAGTATATCTCTGTTGTTTCGGACAAATCATGTTTACTTCCAGGTAGCAACATGTTTGATTTATCCTGGTGCCAAGAAAGAGATGGAAGGTGAAGTCACCCATAACTATGATCTGATCAGCTCAGCCTAAAGGAGAAGCTACAGAACGGTGGTTCAAATAACAACGGAATCTGGGAGGAATACGGATTTTGACTGCAAGGAATTTAGTACCATTTGTTGTTAAATGGAAACAGCTCGGAGGCATAGGCCCTGCCATATGAACCCCACCAGAAAATGATGGAAAATCCATTCAATAGGCAGTGAACTTGTGGACGAAAATTGCATGATCGGAGACAGAGGAGTAAAGCCAGGCGTCAGTTATAGCGATAGCGTCGAATTCAAAAGAGGCACTGTCCGTATGTATTTTAGATAATTTACTTAAAAGATTGTGTACGTTCTGATATTGGATGGAGAAATCTTTCCTTATTTTTTTTGAAAGACAGGAACTCGAGGATTATGGGTAGAATCTCTAGGCAAAAATTAATGCATGACAGTGTGCTCAGGCCGTGCAGACGGTTCCAAAGCTTTGGATACAATAGAATCGGAAAGAAGAGTTTTGAAAAATGAGAGATACGCTTATGTGTAAAATTCAGGGACCGCAATTAACAGTTATGTAGGCTAAATTCAAGTAAATAAATCAATGTGAAGGAAATATGTTACAGCAACATAAAATATACTGAAAATTGTATTTCAGTCATAGCTATCAATATCAACAAAAAAATTTCTATTTACGATTTATTTATTATAAATTATTTTTAATTCTTAGTTTTAATTATTTCAATATAAATTAGAAGTATGATATATTTATTTATATATTTAAAATAAAAATAGGAGGATATTATGATTTTTTAATACCAATCAAAAATAAGAGAGTTAAAAATAATTAATTTAGATGTTTAGTTTAAAAGTTAGAAATAAGAGTTGTTCCGTAAGTTTTATTTGAAAAGAAACATATAAAAGTTACAATGATTATCCTCTGTACTGAGTAGTGTGTTATCATGAATATATGCATTAACTCTTAATCCTTGAGAGAATACCTTTCAAGTGATTTATCCCATGTCCTTCAAGGACACTACACTACTATTTTCCTTAGTATTTAATTTTAATTTTTCATAATGTCAAAGGTCAGTAATTGTGCTTCTGCAGCTTAAGTCAGGAATTTTTGTTGTTCAGTTGTTCATTACTTGCACTGCACACTTTAAATAAACACTCCTCGACACGCTTTTTCCGCTTCGATCCAGACAAACATTTAATGAAAGATATGGGCCTAAGAAATGGTTTGGTACTAATTATACCCGATACTTAAAAAGTAAATAGGGTATATTGTATTTGTGCACAAAGTGGATGTATGTAAGGCACAGAAGGAAACGTTTCCGATCCCGTAAAGTATATATATTCTTTATCAGCAGCAATAGCCGAGACCATAGAGCCATGTCTATCTGTCCGTCCTTTGTCGGCTAGATCTCAGAGACTAAGAGCTAGATCCACCAAATTTTTCCTCCAGACTGATGTATGCTCACACGGAAACAAGTGCATTTAAAAAATAAAAACTAAAACGCCATTCCGTAGGAAATGACCATATCTATCAGATCTCTGAATTGGGATCCGATTGGATCATTATTAAAGCCAGAATGAAGAAATTTATTTGCAGTGGCTAAACCCACCCTGTCCAACAGCTTTTGTTGTTATACCCGGTACTCGAAGAGTAAATAGGGTATATTGTATTTGTGGGGAATAACGGTTGTATGTAACGCACAGAAGGAAACGTTTCCGACCCCATAAAGTATATATATTCTTAATCAGCATCAATAGACGAGTCGATAGAGCCATGTCTGTCTGTCCGTCTGTCCATCTTGTTTGTCGGCTAGTTCTCAGAGACTAAGAGCTAGAGCCATCAAATTTTGCATCCAGACTGCTATATGCTCACACTGAAACCAGTGTATTTAAAAAACGCCCGGAATACGGAAACGTATTTCCACGCCCCCTTCCGCCCCCGCAAAAAGCCGAAAACCTACCAAACCTACAATTTCGAAGATAAAAGAAAACTAAAAACGCCATTACGTAGGGAATGGCCATATCTATCAGATCACCAAATTGGGATCCGGTTGGATCATTATTATAGCCAAAATGAAGAAATTAAATTTCCATGGCTAAACCCACCCTGTCCAGCAGCTTTTGTTGTTCCTTTCACATTCTCTCATTTTCACTCTGCTTCTGCTTCACTCGGCCCCTGCCTCTGCCCTACCCCTGGCGATGACTCTTCCGACTTTTAACCCACCCCGTCCCGCTGCTTATATTTGTTTTTTTTTTTTGTGTGCGGGCGCTGCCTCTGCCACGAGTCTGCAGTATGTGTATGTGTACCCTTCTTGTTCTGATTCATGTATAGTATATGTAGTTCACAAGAGACATTTTTTATTATAGTGTATATATATTATCTATAATTTCACAATACATAAGTAAGATGATGCTGAACTTACGATGCCTCTACATATACTTTCTTGGTACGGCAGGTAGAGGGTCACTAGAAAGTCGTTTTGAAAGTTGAATTTTATGCGTATCCTCTACAAAGGTCGATTTATGAGAACCCTTCTCGACCGATATACAAACTTCGTCCAATGTCATGTAGGCTGGTACGCTTTCGTAGAGGTTCGCGATCATATAGCTTTGAGTACTGGAAATACTTTCAGAAGAGTTATTTCTCGAGATACAGGAAAGGAGCCTTGATAAATCGAACGCATACATTAATAAAATAGAGTAGAAAAGATCAATCACATACCGGTTCGGATTACTTCCCGAAATTATAGCTTCATGTCTCTCAAGGTTTTGAACAGTATTGCCTCTAGGCAAAACGACTATATTTCCAGAGCTGCTCTTTGGTTTCATTACACGTTTGCTGCCTCTTAACCAATCGGGCTTTTGCTTCAGCACTAGAAACATAAATATTATCCCCAGAAAAAGAAATGCCACGATTCCCAAGATCATCCACGATATACCCTTAAAAATAAACAGTATTACAATATATTTTAAATCAAATAAAACGGTATTTTTTATTTACTTTGGAGCGAATATGTTCTGAAATCCAAGAAAAATAATAAACTTCTATGTTTCCGCTTATGTGCACAGATTTACAACTGAATGGTGATACGCTATTTTGATTCGAGTCGATCAGGCAGAAGGTATAAGCAACGTTAGGAACTAAGTTCGTTACAATTGTTTTCAGTGGCATTCTAAAATAACACCCAAAACCGTACTCATCAGGAAAAAGCTCCATCATATAGTATTCTTTAGTTGTCTTAGAGAACCAAACGATTCCAAATGTAAAACTATTTAAATCTTCCAATTCTACTGTAATTTGAACAGTGAGTGATCCATGTGTTTTTGGGAAAAAGTTTATTTGAGGCCACCATAAATTTTGTCTAATGTTTTCCTGTGCTTTCGTACCAGTCTGATTTTGTGCAAGACATTCCAGTGCTACGACTTCGTTCGGAGGTACTGTGGCTGGTGTCGGTAGTGTTGGTATATTCACTGGACTTTCCGTTGTCTGCACGGTGGAGTTTTGTGAGGTAATTGTTGCTCCTGTGGTGCTGTCACCTTTGTACGATTCTTCGGTATCATTGCTATAGCAAAATCGTTCATCAAATACCGAGCAGTTCTTGAACGCCTCTGGAGACCAACAATACATTGGGTGTTTTGATGATGCAAAAATGGTATTCATTTCATTTTTTAGTGTACAGTCGCAGTGCCAAACATTATCGTTAGCTATGATCCGTACATTTTGTGCAATGTTACGAATACCAAATATGCTACTGGAAATTGTTTTCAGCTTATTATGTGATATATCCAAGTACTCTAAGTATTCCATTCCTGAAAAATAATAAATATATTTTTTATGTTTAGTGTTCTATCAGCTTCTATTGAATATTTTAACATTTTTGTTAAAAGTTTATTTCTCTTAGGCATTATTTAAAATCAGCTCGTCAGTTGCGATGTCAGCCATGACCGCGATGTCAGCAAGGTATACCTGGTAGGGCCACTTCGGCCCTTTGGAATTAATAAAACAAATTAATAAAAACCAGAAAAGCCTCCTAACTGCTTTTAGTACGTTCACTAAGCAAACGACTCATAGAGTGGTCAAACCGAGTTAAAATTGGCTGCATAATCAGGATAGGGGATTGGGTCCCAGTGCCTTCGGCTCTTGGTGAGAGAGCCTTCGGCTGAGAGATGGCAATGATTTCGTTTGGCTCTCTTGAGCATTGAGCGCAAAGCGACTCACAAAAACAAAATTTTGTTTTTCCTTTTCAAGTCTGCTACGTAATTTCATGTGTGCGGTGGCACATACATACATAATGGCAGTGCGTGTATCTATTCTCGACTTCATATGCGTTTTCATTTTTAGCGCTTGAGACGCTTGGCATTTTTGTGTTGCTTCTGATCTCACATACCCTTCCTTCAATCTTGATACTTTATGAAGCAGCTTGCCCCAAAAAAATTAAAATGATTTTGTGTATCCTCTCTATGCTCATATATTTCTTAAATACGTTTAGGACGAACGGGATAAATGGTTATAAACATATAATATGCATACAAATAATGAATAACGGCAATTGTATTTGGCGTTGCAACAATTTTCCATTAGAGTATTCAGCGAACACTGTGTGAATAAACTTAGAGACCCACTTGAAAAGAAACGAGAAGGGACGTGTGAGACGCTTCTTACGCGTCACAACTTTTATACCCGGCACTCAGTACTACATCTGCACCTTAGCGGTTATTTGTCAAATTCTTCATTTTTTCTTCATCTGTCATTTACATCCGTTAGCTCGCCGCCTTTCCCTAGACCCACACACTGCAGACTCGCGGCAAAAAAAAACAAATATAAGCTGCGGGACGGGGTGGATTAAAGTCGGCAGAGGGGCGGCAAAGGCAGAGGGACGGCAGAGGCAGAGGCCGAGTGAAGCAGAAATAGAGTGTGAATGAGAGAATGTTAAAAGAACAAAAAAATCTGCGGGACGGTGGGTTTATACACTGCAAATTAATTTCTTTATTTTGGCTATGATAATGATCCAATCGGATCAAATTTGGTGATCTGATAGTTATCTTCAAACTTGTAGATTTGGGAGGTTTTCGCCCTTTTGCGGGGGCGGATGGGGGCGTGGCTCATCTTTTAAATACACTTGTAACAGTGTGAGCATACAGAAGTCTGGATGCAAAATTTGGTGGCTCTAGCTTTTATGGTCTCTGCGATTCAGGCGCTCAACAAGACGGACGGACAGACAGACATGGCTCAATCGACACGGCTATTGATGCTGATCAAGAATATATATACTTAATGGGGTCGGAAAAGTTTCCTTCTGTGTGTTACATAATTTGTGTAAAAAACAATATACTCTTGTACTCTTCGAGTACCGGGTATAAAAAGCACCAGGCACTGATAAAACAGACGGCATCACCCTAAAACGTTTACCACCAAAATACATATGGTTTCTCACTCTCGTATTTAACGCGATTCTCAGACTAGACCACTTTCCAAGTCAATGGAAATGTGTAGAGATCATTATGATCTTAAAGCCAAACAAAATAGAAACGGAATTGACATCATACCGACCCATTAGTCTGTTGACAATATTATCGAAAGTGTTGGAAAAAATACTATTGAAGAGAATGTTGCCAATTTTAGACGAACTTTCCATCATTCCTGAATACCAATTCGGATCCAGGTCACGGGACCCCTGGGCAATGTCACAGGGTTATTAATGATATAGTCTCGGCATTTGAACACAAAAAATACTGCACTGCTGCATTTCTTGATATTCAACAAGCGTTCGATCGAGTCTGGCACAAAGGTTTGTTGTACAAGATAAAGAAATGGCTACTTGCTCCGTACTATTTATTAATCAAATCATATCTGGCTAGAAGATGCTTTTACGTGCAGCAGAAAACCGATAGTTCATCACTACTTCTCATCAACTCAGGCGTCCCACAAGGAAGCGTATTGGGACCAATTCTCTACACCCTATATACGGCCGACATGCCAGTTACAAACAACTGCACTGTTGCCACATATGCTGATGATACAGTCGTTTTAGCCACAAGCACATCTATAAATGAAGCTTCTGAACTCCTGCAGAGTGAGCTAAGCCTAATTGAAGACTGGTTCCTTCGATGGAAAATGAGAATAAACTCCCTGAAATCCGTCCAAATAACGTTTTCATTAAGACCAGGTAACTGGCCAAATGTTACACTTAACGGCTCACCAATTCCACAAAGTACCTGTGTGAAGTATCTCGGCTTGCATCTCGACCGCAGATTAACATGGAAAAACCACATTAAAGCAAAATGTCAACAACTTAGACTTAAAACACTTAAAATGTCTTGGTTGATAAGTCGAAATTCAGAAACTACGTTGGAAAACAAAATTCGCCTCTACAAATCCATACTGAAGCCTGTTTGGACCTACGCTATACAGCTTTGGGGAACTGCTAGCTACTCAAACATTGAGATACTTCAGCGTTACCAATCAAAAACTTTGCGACACATTGTCAATGCTCCGTTTTACGTATCTAATGCAAACATCCACAAAGATCTGAATATTCCAACAATTAAAGAATAAATAAAGAAAACTAGTAAGAAATACATGGGCAGACTCCACAACTACGAAAATAATTTAGCCTTAAGTCTATTAAACAATAGCTTAACAGTAAGAAGACTGAAAATATACCACATTCTCTAATAGCAGGGCTCATTGGAAAACTGCTAATTAAAACGTTCTTCATTAAGATTGTAAATAAAAAGAGAGAGAGAGAGAAAAAAATAAAATAAATAAAAAGTGCGAGTGAAAGGGTAAGTGTGAGTGCTGATTAACCCTTTGATGGCATGGGGTTTAAAATGGCCCATTGCAAGAAGAAGAGTTGAAGTTTTCTTTTATATTTTGATTTTTAATAATTTACTACTTGAAATGAGTAGTTTTTATTGTTTTTATACCCGGTGCTCTAAGAGTAAATAGGGTATATTGTATTTGTGCACAAAGTGGATGTATGTAACGCCCAGAAGGAACGTTTCCGACCCCATAAATTATAGGTATTCTTGATCAGGATCAATGGCCGAGTCGATTGAGCCATGTCTGTCTGTCCGTCTGTCCGTCCGTTCGTCTGTCCTTTCTTATGAGCGCCTAGTACTCAGAGACGATAAGAGTCCGAATTCTGAAGGCGTTCACCGATAAAAGTCCCTCTGCGTCAAATAGATGGCACATCGCACGAAGTTTGCTTTTGGTTGGGAGTGGCCTGTCCCAGCTGAGCACTTTATATTCCTAGGCGAAGTGAGTGAGTTGAAGGTTTTTTATTAGTAGATGCGTTGATGTTAGATCCATCATCTTGTAAATTCCACTCTAAAGGGATCTGATTCTGAGCTTTTAAAAGGATCACTCACTTCATTTGAAATTAAATGCGGATTAATCTTGATTAATAGCGCCAGCACCTTGTGTCGCCGCTCCGGAAGCTCATAGGGATGGGCCATGTTTTGAGGCCAAGACGACCTATCTGCATGTATGAATTATGCCATAGTTGCGAGTCCAAAAGTTCCAGAGGAGTGCATCCTCGTGATAGAATTTCCTCATTGTTCAGTTTAGAGGGTACATGATGCCAGGTTATTCCCTCTGTCAGCTCCTGTATTTGTAATACTCTGTTGGATACAAAAACGTTAAACTTAGACGGTGATTCATTAGCCATTCGCCTCAATTGACCTCTTTCCAAAGTGCTTGGAAAAACCTTCAACCTGGTAACGATGGGCGCGATCAAGCCGAGAGGATCGTAAAATCTCGCTATCATTGATAATATGCTCCGCTTTGTGAAATCAGAGCTTGGAATCAGATAGAGATGATTGTCCCATCCTTGAACTCCATTAGCTTTTCACAGCCGGATTCGTTTTCTCCTTTCAAGGCATTTCGAGCACGATTTCCTGATTGGAAACTGACCCTTTGTCTGGACGTTGACATGCAATGACTGCACCATCAAGTGGCCCATGCAACACCACGTCAAAGCCTGTTACGCGCGGAACAGTGCAGAATGGCGCTGCCGCATGACGCGCGGCGCGATTAACCGAACCGGTCGCGAGCATTCAGGAAAGATAGATGGTGGGCTAATATTCGAGGAAAATTAGAGCTAAACACAACTGAACTTAAGCAACTATAGCAACTATGCAAGCAAAATAACCAAAATCAGAAACAAGACAAAACTAAAACGAAACCTACTAAGGGCGAGGTAGGCTAGTATAAGAGATTTAAGAAGAGGAAGAGAGTTAGTCGAGAATATAATGTGATAGAGGGAATTATAATCTGAGCATAAGACCCTAAAGGGTTCGTGCAAATTCGATCTACACAGTGGAAGGAACGAAGGAATATGGTTTCTAGTGGGTATAATGGGAATCGTAAAGTTTACGCGGCTCAACAAGTCAGGGCTGTCTACATCCCCCTTGATCAAGTTGTACATTAAAATTACACCAAGCATTTTGCTACGACTAACTAAGAATGGAAGATTTAATAAAAGAAGTCTACTACGGTAGGATGGCAGTCTCACAGTTGCATCCCAGTTGAGGCCCCGTAGGGCAAATAATAAAAAGTTGTTCTGTACTGATTCAATACGGTCCTGATGTATGTTGTACTGAGGGCACCATACACATGAGCCGTATTCTAAAATCGGACGAACAAGCGAGATATAGAGAGTCTTCGTTATATAGGGGTCATCAAATTACTTTGACCACTTCTTTATAAACCCAAGCACACCCATGGCTTTATTTACCATGGTAGAAATGTGTTCTAAATCTTTAACTTGGGGTCCAGCTTAACACCTAGATTATTAACCAATGTAATTCTCTCAAGAGAACTGCCGAAGAGGGTGTAAGGAGCCAGGAAGGGGCTGGAGCAATAAAAAGTCATTACATTGCACTTCGAGGCATTAAGTTGTAACATATTTGCACAGCACCATGACTGACAGCTATTGAGATCAGATTGCAAGCGAGAGTGAAATGAAATGTCCTTATACTGGACACAGAGTTTAACATCATCCGCATACATAAGTACTCGAGAATTTGTTAATACAGAAGGCAGGTCATTAATAAAGAATGTGAAAAGTAAAGGGCCTAAATGGCTACCCTGTGGTACTCCAGAAGTAACCATAACAGGTAAAGATAAGGAGTTTTTGAAAAAGACCTTTGAGACCTAGAACACCAGTAGCTATAAATCCATCTCAACAGATTTGGAGGAAACCCTAGAAGGTCGAGCTTTTGTACAAGAAGAGAATGGTTTACAGAATCGAATGCCTTACTGAAGTCAGTGTAAATAACATCCGTCTGCAAGTGGATATTTGGAATCCTTTAATGACAGAGGAGGTGAACTCTATAAAACTAGTGGTTGTTGATCGTCTCCGTATAAATCCGTGCTGAGCTGGAGAAATAAGTGATTTGCAGAGATGCTGCAAGTGCGGAGTTAAAAGTTTCTCGAACATTTTAGGAATAGCGAATAACTTAGATATACCTCTATAGTTTTAGGCGTCAGACTTGCTACCTTTCTTATGGAGAGGAATAAAGGATTCCTTCCTTCTAGAAGAATGCATGGATAGAGTGAATAGTTTAAGCAAAGGTCCGCACAGAGACTCGGTACCTGAGTACACAGCCGGGAACTCCGTCAGGGCCCGGTGAGTATACCGGCTTAACTAATTGAAGTTCATGAAGTAAGGAGCCTTCATTAAACAAAGGGCACAAAATGCCATTCGACCTTGGTAAACTATATGGATACATATGACCTGAGTGGCTTTCCTGGGAATAGGTGGTTTTAAAAAATTGTGCAAAAAGATCGGCGATTGCCTGATCATTGTTTGCCGACATATTCAAAAATCATATCGAGGATGGATGTGCGGACGTTCTACGCTGTACTAAGCTGTAGAACTGTTTAGGGTCCTGTAAAAAACGTATCCTGCATCGATGGAGGTAGTTCCTATAACATTGATAATTAATAACAGTGAAATTTGACCGAGCTATTAAGTAATTAGAAAGAGAAGAGGGAGAACCAACTTCTTGAAATTTTTTAAATAGTCTTGATTTTAGGTTCTTTAGACTGGATAACTCTTTGGTGAACCAAGGAGGTTGCGCAGATCTAGTCGGACATGAGAGTGGGACACACGTGTCAAAAATTGTGTCAAGTACATTGTAAAAAATGTTTGTGCCTTCAATGACGTCAGTGCACGAGTACAGAGTGTAAACTCGGCTTTACGAAAGCAGCGGACGCATTCACAAAGCCTACCCGCACGATCCGATACAGTAGGTCCAATATCTACCGACACTTCGAAAGTAGGATAGCAGTCTTCAGGTATAGTGAGTGGAAGTGCTCGTGTTATCAACGCTACGGTCCAAGAGGTTTTTTACACGGTTGACTTGAGACAGGGACAGGTCTAATAAGCCAGCAACAGTTTTATTTTCAGGCGGATTTTAATGGCTTCTTCGATAGAGAAAATCGAGGCGAACTACCTTTGAAGCTAGCGGAAAGTTAGGCTCCTCCTCGTAGCTGAGCTGATGCTGCCGCCATAAGATGCATTGCAGATGTTGATGTTGACATGGCAACCTTCAAAAAACGAAATTGAATCAGAATGTTGAATAATTTGGCTTGGATTGAGGTGTGCAAGGGCTCATGTGCAACAACTAATGATGCCTTTGTTGACAATGCCTGCAATGACCTGAGCGACATTGCTGCAAGCCATGACTTTTGAGCAAGCAGTTTAAGTATAGATGCAATCGTTTTGCCTGTTTGTGGCGCAAACTAAGAGACAGGCTCAAAAACATAGGGCATTTAGCAAGATAATGCTCTTTTGAGTCGCAGAAATTAAAGATTTTCTGGTAATTGTTCGATAAAAATGCAATAAATGTGTTACGATTCGATGTGTGTACTTTTCTTCCCACCTGCGGGCTAGGTGCGGTTACCGTAGCGCCTTTTAAGTTCTTCATCATGCGGCATCTCTTCTCTAAGAACACCGACATATCCGTCTACCTGGGTAGCTTATCTATTGCGAGTGCCTAATGCCATTTCTCCTGGGTGTGGTGATGAGCTTGTACATAATAGTGTGGATCAGTAGTCCGTCTACAAGCTCCTCGATGGTTGCCATGGTGCTAAGTGCCCGAATATGAGCGTTAATTATACCCGGTACTCGAAGAGTAAATAGGGTATATTGTATTTGTGTGGAATAACGGTTGTATGTAACGCACAGAAGGAAGCGTTTCCGACCCCATAAAGTATATATATTCTTGATCAGCATCAATAGCCGAGTCGATAGAGCCATGTCTGTCTGTCCGTCTGTCCGTCTTGTTTGTCGGCTAGTTCTCAGGGACTATAAGAGCTAGAGCCACCAAACTTTGGCACCAGACTGCTGTATGCTCACACTGAAACCAGTGTATTTCGAAAATGAGCCACGCCCCCTTCCGACCCGCAAAAGGGCGAAAACCTCCCAAATCTACAGTTTTAAAGATAAAAGAAATCTATCATATCTATCAGATCACTAAATTGTGATCCGATCGGATCATTATTATAGCCACAATGGAGAAACTAATTTCCAGTGGCTAAGCCCACCCTGTCCCGCAGCTTTTGTTGCTCTTTTTGCATTCTCTCATTCACACTCTGCTTCTGCTTCACTCGGCCTGCCCCTACCCTAACCCCGTCGATTCCTCTTCCGACTTTTAACCCACCCCGTCCCAAAGCTTATATTGCTCCTTTTTTTTTTGTGTGCGATCGCTGCCTCTGCCTATGCCGCAAGTCTGCAGTATGTGTGTCTAGGGAAGGGCGGCGAGCGTGTTGGTGTGAGAAGTGTTGTAGATGAAGATGACAGATGAAGAAAAATTTTAAAATTTGACAAAACACCGCTGAGGTGCAGATGCACTATTGTCCCAATGACCAGTTTTGGTGGCTGTTTACGCCAAATTAGCGCAAAGGGCTTATGGCCGGGAGCAATTAGTATTTTGTATAAGTAAAATTAATTTGTAGTATAATGCTATTGAATTGTTGCATTTACGACATACTCACAGAAGTTTGTTGCTATAGAACATACATGTAATATGTGAATACGATAGAAAAAGAGGAAGAACATGCATTTAATAGGTGAATATCGAAATTGAAAAGAAGAAGAGATTACATTGATTTGAATTCCGACTCGTTCGAACCAGCAGCACTTGGCTTTTTATTTCGAGATTTTGACTCCGAACTGGTTGCGAGGAGTTGCGCAAACAGTGGCCAAAAGCTAATTTTTAAAAGTTAAAACCAAGACTCGGTTTTTAACGCCCTGTATTAGAAAAAGAGTGACCATCAAAGTTGCGTATAAGAATATTTTAATAGATGGCGCCACTTTCGAAAAATCTGCTGTGAAACCTAGCGGTCATTATTGCACAGAATGTGCAGGGAAAAAGTACCAATTTTATTGCTGTTTTAAATATCTCATAAATTGGAAAATACGATAAACTGATCCAATTTTTTTTATGCATTTTATTTAGTAGACTTTTTACTACGTGTTCTGTAATGTGAACGATATCTAGTGGTTGGCGATGTCTTCTACATCTAGATGTAGTCCTGAGTGCCGGGTATAAAAGTTGTGACGCTTAAGAAGCATCTCACACGTCCCTTCTCGTTTTGTCATTCAATTCGCGCAACGCCTCTGCTGAACCCTTTTCAACACAAGAGAGCCCCAACATGGACTTTGTCGCTTCTCAAAAACTGGTATCTGGCCGTTGTGGCCGGATGCATTGACCTGGTAATTCTGATGATGGTGGGCTATTTCCCATTTCTTTTCCTCAAGAAGCCAATCAATTATATATAGCTTACGATATTTGTCGCTGCAGAATCCATAACATTGTCCTTTACAACAATGCGACATTTGCCCTCGCAGGTGAGTCCCCCCCCCCCCCCCCCCCCCCCCCCCCCCGTTCTGAAACAAATAAAATAAATCTCACCTCTACTATATTATTAGGTATTAATGGCCTTTGGCTGCAAGGGTCTCCTGGTGGCTGCTCTGGCCCTGTTCGATAGCTTCGCTCCCTACGACTTCCCCGCCTGTGGTCCATATTTGTTGGTTCTATTTCTTGTGATGTTAATCATGGGCAGTGCCATGATCTTCTATCGGACGCACTTGATGTTCTGTTTATACTGCAGTCTTGGCATTTTGGTGTACTCGCTGTATCTGTTGGTGGACATACAGGTCAGGTCAGGTCAAGGACTTTAGACTAGTACACAGATCGAAAAAAGGGTCCCTACAAAATCAGGGATGATATTCTTATGGAACCGATTAGAAATGTTGTCGCTCACAAGTTACTTTCTAGCACAAAGCAGCTATATCAGAAGGTCTCGTCGGCGGCAGAGTGACTCGTCGCATTTCATTATTTTCAGTGCTCGTTTGCTTGTCAACGCGGAAGGTTGGTTGCAGACAACATTTTGTTTTCAAAAATTTTTAAATGTTTATTTTTTTAAAACAAAGATAACTATTATGTAGCAAACTATTAAAAATTAAATTATTAAACAATTATTAAGTTTTTTCACATTGCCTTCAAATGATTAATCAGCGCACTCCATTGTCGTTTCCCTCACACTTACAGCTAGAGCCCTTTCACTCGCACTTTTCACTCGCATGAATTTCGAGCATCGCTGCCCGCGCAGGGTTCTCCGATTCCGCAGCGAAAGCGACCCGTGCAGAGGCTTCCGGCGGATATGTCCGCGACCGCGTCTAACAAAGTAAGAATTCCGCTGAATTCAGAGCGGTAGGGGCAGTGGTGACCTGTGCCGGCCTCATGGTGGTGATTCCTGGCCTAGTGGTCAGAACTCACGGAGAAGGAGGAAAAGATCCATGAGTGATCCGCAATCGATTAAACAGAGATACTACCCAAAAAACCTAAAGGATTTCCGCCAGGTGAACGTGAAGTCAGTGAAGGACGCGTATCCCATGCCCAGGATCGAATAGATCTTGGCCCATCTGAGAAAGGCCCGTTTTAAAAGCAGCCTGGACCTGAAGGACGGACTTTGAAGATTCCGCTGGAAGAGCGAAGCCGGCCGGTCACCGCATTTACGGTGCCCAGCAAGGGGCTGTACCAGCGGAAGGTGATGCCGCTCGGATTGCACTCGGCGTCGGTCACGTTTCAGCGGGCTTTGGATCAGGTGATCGGGCCCGAGATGATGCCGCACGCTTTCACATACCAAGATGATATTATCGTAATCGGACGAACGGAAAAGGAGCACAGGGAAAACCTTAAGGAGGTGTTTCGAAGACTGCGTGAGGCCAATTTAAAGCCAATTCTCCAGAAAGGAGCTGCGATACTTAGGCCACAAGGTGACGGCAGAAGGAATCTGTACCGACCCAGAGAAAGTGGCTGCAATAGCCGAGCTAAAACCCCCAATGTGATGGAATTGCGACAGTATTTTTGGGTGGCTTCTTGGTATTGACGCTTCGTTCCGAACTTTGCGACGTTGGTAAAGCCACTGACCACTTTACTGAAGAAGAAGACAAAGTGCGAGTGGAATGAAAAAGGGCAAACTGTGATCGAAGCAGTGAGAACTTGGCGTGACCAGACTTTACGAAAAAGTTCGAAAGGGAAAGGGGGGAACTTGTGATATCGTATTCCAGTAAATCGCTGGATGGGGAGGAAAGGAACTATTCGGCTACCGAAAAGGAATGCCTTGGCATTGTCTGGGCCGTGAGAAAACTCAGGCCATACCTGGAAGGGTGCTGCTTCAAGGTTATCACGGACCACAAGACCTTGAGTTGTTAAATAGCATCGAAAGCCCAACGGGAAGAGTCGCGATATATAGGGGCGATATTCCCAGATTACGTAGAATAAGTTGCGGAGTTTACCGGAATATTACCCACCGAGCCGGAGAAGAGGACGTATTGGCATGGAAGCTATGTGTACCCAAGAATCGATGGGATCATGTGTTAAGGGAGAATCATGATTCCCCAGGGGCTGGACATGCTTGCAGTCGGAAAACAATGACATGAATTGCCGCCCCGTACTACTGGCCAGGGATGCACCGGGACGTAAGGGCATATGTGAGGAGGTGCGAAACTTGCATGCGCTTCAAGCCAAGCCAGATTCGAGCAGCTGGGAAAATGCTGACCCAGGTCCCAGAAGAACCAAGGGCAACGGTGTGTGCGGACTTAGTGGGACCTTCATGGAAACTGTTGGTCTGCTGTTGGTGTTGGTGGACCGTTTCTCCAAATGGACCGAATTGGTACCGTTGAGAAAGGCCACTGCGAAAGCGTTGGTAAAGGCAGTCCGCGAAAGGATATTGGACTGATTTTGAGTGCTCAAGGTGATGATCACCGATAACGGGTTTTTAAGGAGATCACCGCGCCATACACACCCCAGGATAACCCGACAGAACGCACCAATCGAACGGTGAAGACGATGCTCGAACACTTCACAGAAGGTTATCAGCTATACTGGGATGAGAAGTGGCCAGAGCTTATGCTAGCTGTGAATACAGGCGTAGCAGAGTGAAAGGGATATTCTCCTGCGTACATCGTACAAGGAAACGAGCCCCGACTGCCAAAGGCGCTGTATGATGATGGAGTCCTAGGAACAGGAAAAGAGCAGCGAACGCCCGATGAGAATGCATCCAAACTGAAGGAAATATTCCCAGGCCCAGGATCAGGCAAGGCACTAACCTAAAGAGACGAGTAGAAGCCCCTGATAGGAGAGGTCGTATGGGCGCGACAGCATAATATGTCAAATGCGGCAGAGGGATTCACGGCTAAGTTGGCACCGAGGTATGCCGGGCCGTATCGCATTATCTATTTTAAGTCGCCGGAGATATGCCAGCTGAGACTTGGCCGACTTGAAGCCGCAGCCGAAGGAGGGGTGAGATGCTGGAGGGCACAAATAACACAAGAGCCGACAAAACAAAAGGGTTCGTTACAGTATTTCAAAATTTCGTTCCGCCAAAAACAAGATAGGTGAAAAGTAAAAACAGAGGAATAACATGCTATAAGGAAATTTATGTAGGTGTAGATAACAGAAGTAACGAGAAGGGATGTGTGAGACGCTTCTTACGCGTCACAAATTTTATACGCAGTACTCAGTACTACACCTCTACCTTAGTGGTTTTTTGTTAAATTTTACATTTTTTCTTCATCTGTCATCTACATCTACAACACTTCTCACGCCAACACACTCTTTTAGCTCGCCACCCTCCCCTAAAACCTCATACTGCAGAGTCACGGCAGAGAAGCGGCAGAGGCAGAGGCAGAGACGTGTCAGAGGCAGAGGCAGCGCACTTCGCGAAGCAGAGTGTGAATGTTCAAAAAACAAATATATGCTGCGGGACGGGGTGGGTTTAGCCACTGCACTATGGGTAAAAAGCACAAATTGTTGGCATTTATGTAATTTTTTTTGTTTAAAATATTTGAATGCAACTTGACTTTTCTGATTCCTAAATATTGCTGATTTTGAGATGCTTTAACTTGTGAAAAAGTGCGGGAAAAATTGAGTAACTTTCAGCTTTAAATTTAGCTTGATTACAAAGTTTATATACAAGAAAAATATGGAAATAACAGTTCGAGGTATTCAAATTAATTGTTAATACACAGTCACACTGCAAGCACGTGGGAAACATAACCTCTACGTCAGGCAAGTATTGCAGTAAATCTGTAACAAGTCACATATATCGTCGTGGCGATTTCCACCTTGTAAAGGCGGGCGGCAAAAAATCCCCCTATACCCAAGGGTAGAGCGGTAATTTAAAACTAAAAAAAAAAAAAAAATTGCTAGTACATGTTTTTGTATAGTTGTGTATACTTATTTAATTGTCCAATGCTTTGTTCGTGTGTCTTTTAGCTTGGTACTAACGTGTTTTCTGGGGAATATTACTTTTGCACAGCTCACCACTGCACAGAAGTTCAAGTTACTTGTTATTAAACAAGTATTATAGAATCACGTGGTGTTAAGTAACTAACCCGAAGGGATCGGAGTTATACAAATGCATACGAAACAATAACATAACGACTTTGTCAACTGGTGTACCCACATACTGGCCAACTGATAGTCGAAAAATTCCAGATTTTATTGATTTCATAGTATTCTCTGGAATCCCACAATCACACATGCGAGTAATGGAGAGCTTTGACCTTAACTCAGATCATTCTCCAAAAATAGCAACTTACAGCACAATAGCCCATATGTTGGAAAAGCCCTATAAAGTAATAACAGCCTCTACAGACATTAACGCATTTAAAAGCCATTTAGATTCAGCTATAAGCCTGGACATTCCGTTAAAAACAGGAGAGTAGATAGACTATGCTGTGGAGCTTTTCACAAATACAATTCATAATGCGAGCTACAGAAACACGAATCATGCTCTTAATCATCAACAACCAAACCAATTGAACATTTCAACCGATCTTCGGCAAAAAATACAAAATAAAAGGAATCTGCGAAAACGCTGACAAGAAACTCACTACCCTGCTGATAAAAGATTATACAACAAGGCTGCATCTGAGCTTAGACAACTGCTGTCGAACTTACGCAATGAATCTATAGCTGCGTATCTGAGAAACTTAGACCCTAATTCCAGCAACAATGAATACAACTAAATACCTAAAGAAACCAGCTAAAAGAAACATAAATATTCGCAAAAACAACGGAACTTGGTGTAGGTCTAATAATGAAAAAGCGGAAGCAATTGCACAACATCTGCACTCTGTGTTTCAGCCAAACCAAATTTCAGCCAAATAATTATATAACAGAGACTGAAGTAGAAAAATTCCTTGAGTCACCCTGCCAAATGAGCTTGCCTATTAAAAGCATTAAATATGAAGAAGTTGTGACAGAAATCAAATGCTTGAACAATAAAAAAGCACCAGGCCCTGATAAAATAGACGGCATCACCCTAAAAAGTTTACCACCAAAATTCATTCGGTTTCTCACTCTTATATATAACGCGATTCTCAGACTAGACCACTTTCCAAGTCAATGGAAATGTGCAGAGATCGTTATGATCCTAAAGCCAAACAAAATAGAAACGGAATTGACATCATACCGTCCCATTAGTCTGTTGGCAATTTTCCCGAAAGCGTTTGAAAAAGTACTATTGAAGAGAATGTTGCCAATTTTGGACGAACTTTCCATCATTCCTGAATACCAATTCGGATTCAGGAGGGGTCACGGGACCCCTGAGCAATGTCACAGGGTTATTAATGATATAGTTTCGGCATTTGAAAACAAAAAATACTGCACTGCTGCATTTCTTGATATTCAACAAGCGTTCGATCGAGTCTGGCACAAAGGTTTGTTGTACAAGATAAAGAAATGGCTACCTGCTCCGTACTATTTATTAATCAAATCATATCTGGCTAGAAGATGCTT